AAAAGGGGAGGGGGAGGCGGGTGACAGACAGGGAGCCGACGATGGCCAAGAGCAGCTGCTGGTCTATTCCTGCCTGCTCGGTGCTCTGGCTGCCCAGGCTGGGCGGCACGCTCAGCGCTCCTGCCGAAAGGAGGGATGGAGGGTCATGGTTCATGGCCAAGCCCTGCCCAGGCTATACGGGTGGCCAAACACCAAGATGGCAGCCCTCTCCTGGCACCCCGGCATCCCATGAAGACACCACAACTGCATCCCAGGCTCCTGGGATCATGGTGGCGCAGGGATGAGGGTGTCCCTGCTCAGGCCCTTCCACTGAACCCACTGGTTTCTGGACCTTCAGCCAGCTCTGGGTGCAGCCACCAACTCCTCCCGTGCTGGCTCTGCCCGGCTCCTCTAGCTCCCAGTGCATCACTTCACCCTCTGGCCAAGGCAGAGCCACTTTGCAGGAGCCATGCTGTCACCGTGTCCCCCTTGCCCCACCAGGACTAAGAGAAGCAGGATTTCTGAAGACAAGTGTTTTGGGTGTGGGCTGCTGATTCAGAGCTGTTCTGGTCACTCTTTGCCGACCTAGATGCTAAGCCCAAGCTCCCTCAGAGCTGTGAGCCTCCCGCCTGCTGCGACACCCCGCTCACCGTCCCCCAGGGTCTTGGCTTTCACAGGTTGGCTCCACTCCCCTGGGACATGGGAGTTGGCCCGAACGCGAAATTGGTAGCTGGTGCTGGCGTTGAGGCCCCCGACGATCTTGGTGGTCTCAGCGCCACTGTCGGTGTCGATCCACTGGGGCTCGCTGGTCCCCCCCACCTGCTGCAGCTCCACGATGTACTTGGTGATGCCCCCGTTCGGGTACTCGGGGACCTGCCAGGAGAGCCTGACGGCGGTGTCAGACACGGACTCTGCTGAGAGCGATCGTGGGGAGGAGGGGCCTGAGGCAAGGAGAGGAGAGGGTCAGCCCCAGGACAGGGCTTCTGGCACTGTAGGAGCTGAGCACTGGTTTGAGGACCAGACCCCATGGATGGCAATGTCAACCAAAGCCATGCCAGGTTTGAGGAACCTCCAGAGACCCGTAGCCCGTGCTTAAGTGGAGGCAGGAGGAGGTAGACATGGACCCCAGGGCCAGGAGTGGCTCTCCAGGTACAACAACATGACAGGACTGCATCCACAAACACTCCCAGCCTCAGGGACCATCAAGGTAGACCTCGTCTCTGTATTGACTAGCTCTTGGGATATTTTCTTTCTTCAGCCCTCCCTCACACACAGCAGGTTTTGAATATTTTATCATTCCCGTCGCCTCCTCTGAGCCTGCTCAATCCTGCCCACATCCCTAAACACAAATCCCCAAATCACACAAAGCTCTTGCAAGCAGCAAGAGGAGAAACCCTCACATCCTCCAAGCCTGATGCCCACCAGCCCTCCCAAAGCATAGTGGCCAGCACTGAGCCTCACTGAAGGCCTCGTGCACTCCTCACTTGCTTGCCAGAAACACCTCCCCATGGTCTCCCACCTGTGTGGGGATCTGCATGGGCGTGTGTGACCCCAGGAGTTGGTGCAGATCTCCCCAAGCCCCAGTGACTGTCCAGAAAAATTACCAGGCAGTGAGGTTAAAGTGAACCAAAGGGAAATAACTTCTTCACACAATGTATAACTATATCAAGAAACTTGTTGCTACAGGGTGTTGTGAAGGCCACAACCATAGACAGGTCCATCAGGGCTTGGGCAAGGGCGTGGAGGACAGAGCTGTTTGTGAGCATCACCTGTGATGGCCTGAATGTCATGTTCAGCTTAGGATGTATCTCAGCTGCTTGGTGCTGGAGCCTGTGGGGTCTAGTGGGGAGAAGAGGACCCATTTTCCCCCAAGCAGCTGTTCCTGCTCTATCAGAGATGGGATACGGGAGCAGCCAGACCTGGGGATGGTCGCTGTTACAATTATAAGTGATTTGTCATTCTCATTCCCTGTAGTAATTCCCTGTGTTCTGCTGGACCTACCTTTGCTGTTGATCATGACCTTGTAGAGGTCGGAGGGGGGCCCCAGGCTGGTGCAGTGGTACACCAGCACCAGCAGCCAGTACTCCTTGTTGAACTCCAGGTCCCCGATGCGGGCAGAGAGCACGGAGATGGATGTGATGTTTTTCTCACAGACCAGCCGCCTTGCAGAGTCAAAGAGGCGGACGATGAACCCGTGTGCTGGCTCGTGGCCACTTGACAATTTCCAGCTGACGTGAAGTGTGTTTTTTTCCTCTATGGACCAACCTTCGATCACAGGCTTGACTGTGGGCTCTGTGAACAAAAAGGCAGCAGAACCTCATGGCGCATCAGCCCCAGGGCTTTGCAGACCCTGCACCGGGCAGGGTTAGGGGCAGGGTCAACGTTAGGGGCAGGGTCGGGGTGAGGAAGATGGAGGCTCACCGAGGCACTCGGTCACCATGACGGCCTCAGGCCCCTTGCTGCCCTCCCCACCATCCCCTGGCCGGCTCAGCTGCACCTTGACGATGTAGGCAGTCACTGGCCGGAGGTTCATGAGGGTGATATTCTCGCTGTTGTCAACTGTTGGCCAAGAGGACACATCAAAGCCTTGCCCACGAACCACAATCTGCCCTGCCACTGGCATCCTCCTTGGCATCACCATGGGGGTCCCGGCATGGAAACCTCTGCCTACCCCAGAACCCCACTGTCTGGGGCAGCCACCCCCTCCTGCCTGGGTCCTACCTGTGCCCCCCACCCCCCAGCAGACACATACCCACAATGGATGACCACGCTGAGGTGTCGTCCTTGGGCTTGTAGAGCAGCTTGATGGAGGTGATGGGTCCATCGCCAGAGAAGCAGTCCACGGGTGACACCACGAGCTGGCGGCTCTGCTTGGCCAGCAGCCGTGGGGGGCTCAGGGGCTCTGGTGGCACTTGAGGGGGTGGAAGGAGGGAAGGACACCAATGGGACTGGGAGCAAGGAGGAGCAGAGCGTGGGTACCGCTGCCACCTCTTGGTTCCTTGCAGCTTTGTCTGGGAAGTCTTTTATCACCACCCAAACCTGTCTCCTGGCACTGCGGCACACGATGGGGGGCACCCAGGCCAGTGGGGGGGGGGTGGGGATTGGCCCCCCCATTTGACTTTCCGGCTGTCCTGGCCTCCGGTCGTGGAGACCCGGCACTCCCAGAGCCCCGTGTCTGCCTTTGTCAGGTGCCGCACCTGAAACTCGCAGGTGATCTGCCCCGGCTCAATGATGGCTTTGATGAGCTGTGGGCACACAGGGTGCCATCAGCCCCCTGGTTCAGCCCCCTGGCTCCGCGTGCTGGCCTGGAGCTGCCCCGCAGACCAGCGGGGCAACGGGTGCTTCTGGGGTAGCCGGCAACATGGGGATGGTGGTGGGGCAAGGGCATGGGGGCCATACCTTGAGCACGGTGCCGTCAGCCTTGCGCAGCTCCACACTGTCACTGGCAGGGAGGGGGGTGCCGGG